CTGTTCACAGCAATCCAATCAACCAACGATGGCTCAGCCTTGGAGCTTAGAATGATACCTACACCAGCTTGACCCGGGAGTGCTGCATCGGCGTCTCCGGATGCGTGCAACCAATAACGAGAGGATAAGCCGGGTGCAGTCAATTCAATAACCCCATTAGGGTCATTGATCCTAGTTGCGGACACACAACACACATCAATACCCAGTGTGTCCAAGGTACGTGCGAGTGTAGCCTGTTTGTCTTAGAGTGCGAACGTTGAACATCGCCATGGAAACGGGACGACGTGGCTTTATAAGGGATTGTTGCTGATAGGCATCCGGTGGGTGTTGCGGGAAGGTGGCTGCAGACGGTTCTACTCCAGTGGCACTTTGTTGCTGTCAATTAAGTTGGGAATTATAGAAGGCAGGTTAATAATGGGGGTCAGGATGGGGGTAGGAGAAACAGGTGGAAAAGAAAAAAGGGAGGCGCCAGCAGTAGCAAGTATTCGCTTATCCGCCCTGCTGTATGCAGCCGATAAGGCGACTGTTGATAATCTGCGCGACGACCGATGCAGGATGAAGTTTATGTTTGAAGAAAATGTCATGGTGGTATGTAGGCTGAGAGGCTTCCAGGGCGCCCAGACGTAGATAGGTGGACGATTAGGGTCCTCATCTAAAGCGTTTGGCTCAAAAGACTGTCCGCAAGGCAGCGGGGTGGCAGTGATTTAGTTTTACAGAAATGGACGCCATCCCATTTCAAACCCCCGACCTGGAGGATCAGGAGGCTGAGTTTGTCTGACCTATCACCATTGACCAACCTGGTGGGAGTAGCTCTCAAGGTGCCCACAGGCACCATCCAGTATAGCTCAGTGGGTTAGGGAAGTACGCAAACCGTCGCACCACGTTAAGGTCCAGTCTCATTGCGACACTGCCACCTGGTGAATCACCTGAGCCGGCGTCGAAAGTTGACGTTACAGTTTAGAAGAGATTCGAGATGAGCTTACAAGATTGAAATGAAACAAAGCTCCGAGAACCGGCGGTCTTCCTCTAAGTTTGCTGACAGCTGGAAGTGACATTGCTACTCTGTTTAACACGGCTTGGGACACTGAAGAGGTGCCTTCAGACTGGCGACTGTCAACCATCGTGCGCAACTTCACGCAGAGCCATGGGACCTCGAGCGAAGTTAAGCTAGGCGTTAGTCTTCGTTTCATTGCCCCAAACTTCTCACGGGTATCAATCTTCGACAACTTATTGGTCTTCTTGAGAGCCAGTTCCCCAAAAGCCAGGCTGGCTTCCGCCCTGGTTGTAATTAAATCGGCAACATTTCCACGCCTTATTCAGTGTAAGAATAAAAACACCCTGATAGACGACCGTCAACGGTGGTTTTTCTTGGCCTGAAATCCGCCTTCGATGCTATTGATCGTGCTAACCTGTGTCACTGACCATTTGTGAAGAGCATCCCAGCGAAACCCCTTTCCATTTTGAATTCTAAACCATGACTCCCGAGGTCGTGAAGGAGTCTACAGAAAAATGTCTCCCGAGTTCCCACGACAAGTGGAGTTCTCTAGGGTTGTCCTATCTCTCCTATCCTATTCAATTTTGTGATCGAAATGCTCGTAAGTGAATTCGTTCTTCCTGGCTCTTCCGAATTAGAATTTCTGCCAAATGACGGATTCACAAACCTCGAGTATGCAGACTACAAAGTTCTGCTTGGATCTGACGCAATGGCTATGCAAGTACTGCTAAATAGACCGACGCATGGCGCTGCACGCTTTGACATGCGCTTTCCACCTTCAAAAGGTATTGCAGCAGAACTCGTCTTAGTTATCATCGAACAGCCACTGTACGTGATGAATCGGTTTACTTGGTGGTTGTGTCACTTCTGGTGCACATCACTGAGGAGGTTAGTTCGAATATCAACGGGACACGTGTGACTTTCCAGAGTGTCAGCCACCCATGGAGAAAACTGGATATCATCCTGTCAGTGAAGGTTGCATAAGGCTGTGATACTGAATGGACCAGAGACCTGGACAGTTCGCAGTGAGGGCATTAGACCTTTGATCATGTTTGATAACTGGTGCGCGCACAGCATTGCTCACATCGGCTGGGAACACCGAGTGATCAATACCGAAATTCACTAGTTGACTTTTAGTAAGAAGTCCTCTGGTGCCACATTAGAGTGTTTGTTAAGATTAACCGCTTACGTTGGCTAGGTCATATCCTCGTATGCCCTTTGACCGATTTTCTCGGCGTGCATTGCACGTCGTGGCTACACCAAAATGGGCGAAACAGTAAGGTGGCCGGTCCATGACAAAGCATAAAGAAATAGTCTGAGAGACTTGGTCAGGCTGGTGCGTGCCGCCTTTGTGGATGGAGACGCCCGGATATTCCACACCAGCGGCTGGAGACTCCAGCAAACAGTCAGTGGCGTTGCTGTATCGAGCCGTCAATCGTCCATCTGGACTAAAGTTAAACACTTATGTCCTAATTCCATTTTCTTTGTATTCTATTAGGGTTTAACGTCATTTCCCTGCACTTGTTAGTTATGATTAAGCTGGCGACGACATTAGTGGCAAATGGATCCACCGCCCGAATCAGAGTTGTTCAATTTATTTACACTGATTCGAGACGTTCGCATGAAAAATGCTACCGTCATTGGAAACAACAGTCTACCGGAGACAGAAGCCCAGGGATGAAATTCATGAGCATGACTGAAGAGAAAGTAAACATCATCAAATCAGTCACTTTATATAAACGCTATGTTGACGATATGCTATTAGTCGTGGATTCAGATGAAGACATTGCACTTGTAACCAAAGCGTTCAATAGCGTACACCAGAATCGTACTGTGACATGCGAAATTGAGCACGACCATTGTCTCCCATACCTAGATATACTGCTCACAAGAAGGTCAGGTGGTTCAATCCAAAGGTCAATCTACCGAAAAGCGACCTGGAAGGGTCAATACTTACATTTTAAGAGATTTTCGCCGATACAACACAAGCGCTCTTTAGTTCGAACTATGTTCTACCGAGCTATGAATTGCACCAGATACACCGGGGTTAGTATCTAATGGTTACCCCACTAGTTTATAGAGCGTTTCAGTGACACAGTGAAACGAGATCGAGAGATGACGATTCAAAAGAAACCGGTTTTCAATAAGTTGCCATTCGAAGGTGACTACCTCATGAAAGTCACCATGAAACGAATAAGCGCTTCAATGAAAAAGGAATACAATGCAGTAGTCACTTGTTAAGTGTCCGATGAAGAGATCGGTGTCGAAGCAGTGCACGTCCCATTGCCTATACAATTTCACATGTATTTGTGGAGACAGCTATGTTGTGAGCACTGACTGAAATCTAGGTGTCCGAATCAACGAACACTTTCGAAATGACTCCGCAAACAGAAGGAAAATGCAACGGTTTTACCGGGTAGCAAGGCTGCCTCAGCAATTATGAGGTATTTGATGAAGACCGGTCAGCAGGTAAACCCAGATACGTCATTCATAGTCATCATGCACAGTCAAAGGCCTCACATTCTCAAGCTTCTTGAGGCCATTGTGATGGATCGACAGTGCAACCGCTCTGTGTGCAAAAACAGTTGACCGTGACACTAAGCCTTCCGTGGTAGCCAGTAACGCACAATCGTAAATCAGCTGACCAAAAATCGGATTTATGTGATCTCATTTTGGTTGTTTTTTATTAGCATGTACGTGGCCGACGATAATGCAGGAAATGACAGTATCATGCCACGACATTTAAAATTATAAAGGGAATTTCATGTTTCAAGTGCTGAACTACTGCGGCAATCATTCGAAAATTCATCGACAGCCGCATGGGAGTTCAGACATAGTAAAGCACTTTGCATGCAAGAACGAGGCTTGGTACGGAGCTACACGAACAAAGTCTGGCTGTTGACCTATATGTTTCAAATTCATTAATGTGTGCGAACCGTCAACGTGAGAACCGTCAATCAAACGTGAACATCAATATAACAGAGGAGCAATAAGTCTGAGAACATGTGGATTTTTGGGACCTGGTATTCGGGGTAGTAAACACTTAAAGAGCGCGAAAAAACAAGTAGGCTATCCGCCTCAGAATACCGGAACAAGGACGGTGATCACTCGGTCAACTCACCGCCTGTCCATGCAACGCAATGGGTCACAGAGGAGCATGGAATCCACAGTGGGATGTAGAACCGCAAGTTAAAACAGGGAGCGAACACTGACAAGCCTGGAGGTTGAACTGGTAACTAAGCCGCCTGGCTCGGTGGTCATTGCAACATCCTATCTGTGTAACTCGCCTAAGCCGCTGAACTTCATTAGTGGTCAGTGTTGATCCCAATTAATAGGTGTGGTCATCCGAACTGCCTTCATTGTTCCAGACATTGAGAAGGTCAACCTCCGATTGCCATATAACCCAATTCTGAATAAGTGCGTTGGCTTGCCACTCAAAGTATTTGACAAGGGTAGTGGTATCCGCCTGATGTGGAAGACATGCATTAGCCTGTTTAAAAAGTGCAACAACGATTAACATGCCGAGTTGGGACAAGCAATGGTGGTGATTTATCCGATTTATAGAGTAGATCCTGTTGGTAAGAGCTTTGGGGAGAGTAATTAGCCGTATCTCAAATGCAGTTGGCTCCGTTAACACAGGTGATGTGCTGACGCACAAGCTGAACGGTGTCGTACTCCATTGGCCATGATTTACCGGTTATTTCTGAGAAAATTGTGTCGCAATCCAGAAACACGGCGGATACTTCAAAGTTCCAGATTGAATCCCTTAACTCAATGGCCAAGCCATCAAAACAAGCATCAACATCTACATTGCGTGTTTCACTTCAAGCTCTTGATGAGTCCAAACATGGAGGAAAATGGTCGTAGGGTGTAGTGTTGACAGCGAGCAATATAGAAAAAGTTCTATATCAAACGGTTACATTTCTACAAAGTAGCCTGTGAATTCGGACAAGAAAGATTTTTGTCCCCACGAAACTCGGTCGTAGCCGCCAAGAATCCGAAGAGCATTGAAAGACAGCTGCGCCACCTTTGGTAGTGCGCATCCCTTTTGCCCAACGAGGAGTAGGAATACGTGACTCCGCTCTCTCAGAGTAATGGTCGATAATCGAGTCGCTAACCCACGCGTTCAACGAGCACGTGAGGTATGTCACGAAATGGCGAATTTGCATACTAGTGATATCCGATAAACCAGTGGGGAGTACAACTGTGAAAAGAGGCGTGTGGTGCAATGAATCAAGTCAATGCCGTTACGAATAAGTGTACATGAAAGGCACGGATAAATGAAGCACCGATAAGACTGCTTCATAATAAGTATCACCTGGAATATGTACAGAACCAATCAGGAGATTAATGTGGCGACCAGATGGAGTTCGGAGTGGTGCAACCAAGCAGGACATAATAATATACAGCGGTGGTGAAATTGGGTGTCAGGAAACATAATGGTACGTAGCAGAATTAGTGGTATCGCGCTTCATGTAGTCTCGCTCAATGAGATATTCAATCCGCTTTTTGACATCAGACGCCTGAAAATCAAAAGAAAGGACTTAGTGTTTAAGTGAAAGGTGTGAATAAAGTTGATAACAAGTAGAAAGCAGCGATATGAACAGAAGCCCCTCGGTGAAGTTTAGTGAGTCCGCCTGTCGATGGTAAAATGTGCATGGTTGACAAACTGAAAAAAGTGAAACATGAAGGAAACATCTGCAGAAACAAAAGGAAAAGGTTTCTTCGGATCCAATCAATCTCCGGTCAAGGGTTGGTAGCCTAACGGCACCGCCGATCGCCCCCAATCGCTACTCCCCGTTGCAAAAACAGAATTCCGGTGGCAGAAAGCAAAAGATTTGAACATCATTACCTGCCGTTAGTTACAACATAAGTATGGGAGTAATACTAAAATCAACTATAAAGTGCGGAGCATACCTTCAGTGGGAAGTGCAACTGCTTGTAAACTTCGGACAGCAGGCCATTGTGGTCGATAGTCTTTCGCGTCTTCATGATTCGAACTATGCAACAGTCTACATGAGCAACACGATCGGCGAACACTCGTTCTTCCGTAGCCTCCCGTTCCTGTTTCTGTGTAATCATAAAAGTGAGCGACATAAGAAAAACACTGATTACTGTTAACAAACAATAAGCTACGGAGAGTAGGAATGCGAATATAAAGTATGGTACAGGAAATTAGTGCTCATACAACAAACGCCTGAAAGATAGCGAATGCTGAGAAAGGAAACACATATTCTACTGTTAGTCCACGCCATCAGGACGATCATGCCATTTCCGTGTCTGGCCGATGAAGTGCAATCGTTGGCATCAGCCTGAGAAATACTGGACAGCACAGCAGATTGAATAATCAGGCGAGATGTGTGCGAATAAGAGGCGACAATAGGACGTGAACCACACTACGTGGTCATGTGGCTGCCATCGGCCGACCAGTTGTGGTGTTAAAGGTCTACAAAACTACAGCCAGTTAAAACAGATGATAAAACCAGAGAAAGGTTTCCTCCTGCAACCAGGTGGGATGATCAGTCCGTGAATGTTTCACGGATGCAGTGCCTTAGTCCAACCCATCGGCCAAAATCCGCTGCCATGAGTGTTGGTGGATATTTGACCGGAACCGACCAACATTGTTGGTTACAGCCGAGATGCATCGCAACTAAAGGCAAGAAGAAAGAAGCTACCATACATTTGGAGAAATCGTTTGATGACGGTGTTTTGTTTGGGGACAGAGTATCAGTGCGAATTCGACATGTTCGGTGAATACAGCCGTGTCGAAATTCCGAAGGGAGTTAATTCAGATGTCCCTAGGAAGGCAATTAAATGTTAAGGCAGAGAGAAGACAGAGGTTGCGATATGTCAACATTTCGATTATTATCGCGTTGTTAGCAATTAGTGAGGCGTTGTTAATTAAGGCTTATCAACCTGTGCTATGTGCACAGAAACTCTTGAGGCAATCCATTCGGTTGCCATGGTCTTGACTGTGACATTTTGATTGGTGGTGCCTTTTTTCCCATGTATATAATCCCTTGTATGTTTCTGATCGTATTGTGTTTGCGACTGAGAAGAACAATCGAAATGTCGACATATTGCAACCTCTGTCTTCTCTCTGCCTTAACGAAATGGCTGAAGGGGACCCACTATTTTGCAATTAAATGTGTATTCTCATAATTAGCTAGTATGGACAACATCGATCGGTATCGGCGCTACGGCTGCTGTGCAATAGAATTCCGTTGGCGGTGCCCAGACGGCTGTCAAGGTTGGGATATAAATAGAATTTGACGCGCACTTTTGAACCACGCGCCGATAATTGCGTGATCTGAGGAAACCGTAAGGCGATAACTGCGAAAGATCGATAGGTGAGGGTGTTGTGTTCTGAAATTATGTTAAAGTGACATAGGAACCGGAATGAACCGAGCCATTAATCTACCATCGCCCATTGGACGTCTGAAGGACAGGAACTTCGGTCTATTGGGAAGTGACGGGTGAGTGAGCCAATCTGCAACATCAGGACAGGTACTGTGAGCTTATTGGCAACACGTCGCGCACCAAGCAGAAGACATGTGTTAAAATTTGCGCACCTAATCGTCAGCCCTCGGTAGCTCAGGTGGTAGAGCAGCGGACCGGAAATTCGTGGACCGGGGTTCGACTCCCCGTCGAGGCATATTATTGTGCGTGAATTTTAATCGTGGCTTCTACTTTCTTCGAGCCGGAAGTGCTAATCAGCGAAAGCACATATTCGTATAACAAACGCTTTTAACGAATCAATTAAGCGAAGGTAGAAAACAGAGAAGGTAATCAACATTTCCTAAAATCAAAAAGAAAAACTTACAGTTTCCTTTAACTGGATCTGATTGAACTTGATGCGCGTCAGGCGGTGTCGGAAATCGCTGTTGAAGGTAAACGTGTGACCGATATCCACCTCCAGAGTCTGTTGTGCAGAAACGAAAAGTGAGACCAAAAAATGAAGGAGGCTTTGGACCAGTTTGGTGTTCAGAACAACAGTTGGTACAACAAAGGGTAAGCCACTGTATGTGGCTTTAAAAATAGCAGATTTGGACGAAAAACTCCGGTAGCGTGTCGCATAAATTCATTGAGAATTCCCAGGTGAAGCTTGAGTCATGTATTTGTACTAAAAACTATGTCTGGAAAGACAGCAAGTACGGTGTATTCTGAATAGGACGAGTTCGATATATTTCGTAATTGAGATGGCTGGTATTTGTAAACACAGTGATCAGTGCGGTACATGATGAGCGGCCGCGTAGAGCAATCAAGACAATAACACCCCAGTGGATAAAGCATCAAACAAATACAAGGGTTCAGTTAGGATTATGGATATGACAGCATTCGCATACATTTTCGTACTTCTGAACAAAAGGTAGGTGGGTTTCATGGGATGGGGCGAGAAACTTGATCTATCTCATTTGTTAAAGAGCTCGTGAAAAAGTAAGCAAGGATCTGGAGAAACCACAAACGAACCGATGGGTGCTTCATAAGCACTCGCTGGCCCTTGCCGGCGGCCAGAGATAAGAGGGTTCGCTTCAACTCAGTGTCTTCGATTCCAGTGGCTTCCGAGATTGTTGCGTAGCTGACCGGTGTGTTGGATTCTTGATTAAATTGTAACAGCACCAAGGCTTGGAATTCTGACACTTGTAATTCCTTCCGCAAGTTCGGGGTCTAGAGTGCACAGAGCAGAGAGCAAAAGTATAAGCACCATCAACAACTACAATGACAAAGGGAACAAAGACGATGGGGGAAAAAGGAGCCGGTGTAAAATCCAAATGCCCCGAGTAAACATTAAGAGTCAAGACGTCTAAACCATGTCAAAAAAACATGCGGTCACAAACCGTTGGCTATCCAGAAAAAATAAGACGGCATCGATGGAGACAACTCACTCGCAGCTTTCACTGCCTCGCGTCACAATCAACCATTACTCCGCAAATAGCTCAACATCCCATACTACACTGTTAACAGGCAGTTCGACTAGGAGAGGATGGGAGACACGCCACCGATGCCGAGTGCGAGCCATATCTTGTGATGTTTCCAGTCAAGCACAAGGTGAGCCGCGTGGATTCCAGCTTGAAAAGTTAAATGGAGCAACAGCGCCCAGTTTAATCATCAGTGACATCATTTTCCGTAGCCAAGTCAACTTTCGCCACCTCGATCCATGCACCATTCTACATGCATAAACAAGGCTCTCATCGGTAAGCCATGACCCGGCGTATGTAACACGTGCTTAAGCCATCGCCATTTGTAGGCTTAAGGGACTAGTCTGATCATTGCCACCTAGTGGCAGCCCGTGGGATCTGTCGAGCTGTAAGGTCGCGCTATATGGTTGCTCGTCCAATTTCCGGATTGACAAGCTACCATGCTCGCGCACATGACATATTTATACTAATTCGATGCACTCGTATCGGCTCTACCCGATAGACATACAATTGCACGGATCATTTCCATGCTTTTTGCAGATTTGTGGCTAAAACCCGCGCTCAAATTTGCCGACATTTTTGTGTGGGCATCTGATCAGTTACCCTTATTCGAAAGGGCGTCATTATTACTACACAACAATTTGCAAAACCAACTCCATCCCACCTTTTTTTGCAGCAAATGCATTCTACTTTGCAACCGCTAGGTTGCGGGTCTAACTGCTCGCCACTGCTAAACACAACCACACAGATCGCGGCTACCGACCACTTTTTAACCCAGACGGAAACGATCGATGTGTCCATCGTCGCTGTCTATGTCCGCTTTGATCGTAACACACGCAACTGCGCCGCCCAGCCGTTCTGCACCTGTCCCACTCGACAAGATTCAACCATACAACACCAGTCATCTGAACCAAGGTGCGCGTCTCAACACGTTCGTTGAATTGATATCAGTGATTAGCATCCACAAATGTAAGCGTGGGATTCAACTGACCTACCCACAACCGATTACGAGAAAGGACACAAGGTTGGTTTTCATTGAGTTTTGTCTTGCCTAGGCGTCCAAGTCTGACCACTGACAAGCATAAGTTGCGATGGCCCCACCGAAGTCCCGTTGGATTCGGCAAGCTAAGCATAGTGAACTTTCCACGCCATCAGCAAAGCGAATAAAATTCGAAGGCCCAAAAGAAAAGCGAATCTGTTCTTCAAATAATAAGCTCATTCCAGAACGAAAAACATAAATGCCTCTCTTTGGAAATACAACTTGATGAGATGAAAAAAGACTGGCAATCTTTGAACCACTTAAAGATCATCTGATTTCCCCTGATTGTGTCAGTAATCCATTGGAAAAGATTGAACCTGTTCTGATGGGGAAACTAGGGCAGTTAATTGCCTCTGCTGCTTCTGAAGCGCACGAACGAATATGTAAATGTAATTTCTTGACGTTCCGGACAGATCGGGCCTGCATACGGTAAAACAACGATACTGAGAGCTTGTAACACGTCTGATGTCGACTGCAAAGGTCAGCTTTTTAAGAAGAAAAAACGAAACATTATTGCCCGATCAATTATAAATATTTAAGCGAGAAAGTCGCGCAGCGGTTCATGTACTGTGGACAAGTCCTAGCTCTACACACCCAGTTTAAGGATAATTCGGTTAAACCAGAGATAACACCCGTCAAAGATCCGCAATCTGTACTGTGCTGCGAACACCCGAAAAGGTGGCTAGGTCCACTAAAAATTTCAGTCCAACGTCCGAAAGATGAGCGCATCTCATGTGGATGATAAGTGCATCGATTTAGACATTAATAATGCATCTGCATTATCAGCTGGCTCCAATGTCATTGTTCCTTGATCTACCGAAACACTATTAGAATAATAAACGGATAGAGGGTTCACCTATTCCTGACAGCGGTATACCCATCAAATTGATTTCCTCATGCATAAGGATTAAAGGTGCTTGGAACAGTGGAGCAGTGATAACTTGTTGGCTGTATCAGAATCCGGACCCAACGACAAAGGTATGTCCAAGGATAGACAACCTGATGTAATCCATCGCTTACTGTCGTCCAAAGATAACTTAAATAATCCAGGGACCACCGTTTTCAAAAGGCATATGGCTACAAAATACTCGGATGCACCCGAAGTTTCCTATCGACCAGCCTCCTATAACCACCAAGGAAAACAACCTTCTTTGTTGAGGAAGGCCAATAACAATTGTCTCGTGGCTACCTCTAGTTAGCATCCCACACTCTACAACAAGCGCTGGAAACGTACAGATAACAGAAAGAGATCAGCAGATAAGACAATGTTATCCCCTACTCTGCTTCATGTTCTCTAAAGCTCACCCAACTGCCTTTGCCAACAACTCTTTTTTAACGATGGCGGCAACAGAGTCGTCATCATCATCAACAGCAGTACATCAGCCATTTGAACTGATGCTTCGCTGCCATACAACCATGAGGACCTATGAAATAAAGAATAAGAGGGAGAGAAAGGGGACTTACCTGAAAACCTTAATGCCCTAATCAAACATTCAGGGTCAAGGCGCCTACACCTTGTGTTAACAACATACCGTCACAAACAGCTGGCTGTCGTGCAAAGATAAGGCGGCATCGGCGAGACAGCTTCCTTGCGGCTTTCACTGCTCCGCGTCATAATCAGCCATTACCCCGCAGATAACTCAGCACCAAACACACTTTAAACAGACAATCCGATTAGGAGACGGCAGCAGACGCGCCACTGGTGTCGGTTGCGAGCCATGTCCTGTAAAGTCTCGAGCGAAGCACAAGCTGTCACGTGGACTCCAACCCGGAAGGCGAGACGGACCAACGGCACCCAGTTTGGTCGTCAGTGACTTCATTTCCCGCTGCCAAGTCAACTTCTGTCCACCTCGAGCCTTGCGCCATCCGACACCTGGTAGACTGAACAAGGCCCTCCTAGGTAAGCGGTGACCAGGCATGCGTAGCACGTGCCCGAGCCAACGCAGCTTATTCAGTGCTATCTGTTGTTCTAGGGAGCTAGCATGATCATCACCCCCTAGTACTCGCCTACGCACATCATCGTTGCGGACACGCTGGTGCCATCCGACACCAGCAATGCTTCGCAAACAACGATGATCAAAGACTTGAAGGCGCCTCAGATCTTCAGACCGAAGAGGCCAAGTTTCACTACCATAGAGCAGAACGGCCCTCACTGTGGCCTTGTATACACGGTCTTTCAGACGGAGGGAAACTCCCTTCTGTCGCCAAAGATGACGCAGGTTCAAGAAGGCAGCTCTGGCCTTTGCAATGCGTGAGCTAACGTCAGTTTCTATGCGCCCATCATTGCTGATGCAGCTGCCAAGATAAGTGAATTGATCAACCACCTCGAGTTCCTCGTTAGCAAGCGTCAAGGGGTCATCGAGTGGCTGGTGGTTCTGCAGCAACACTTTGCACTTTGAAGGTGCGAAGTGCATACCAAATAATGGGACCACTCTGGATAGGCTATTCAGGGTTGATTGTGCCGCCTCGACATTGTCGAAAAGCAAGACGATATCGTCCGCATAATCTAGATCAACTAACCGTTCACCAGGCAGCACTTCAACGCCTACATCGTGAGATTCCGCAAGGGAACACTCCATGATAGAATCCACGACGAAATTGAACAAAAATGGGGAAATCGGGCAACCCTGTCGAACAGAGTCGTACCCATTCCCACTCCAGATACCACCGGCAAAGGTGAGCACTTTGACCCCAAGCCCCCTCCAATTAGCCCAGATGACAAGGCTACTCCAGTGTCAAGCCAACGGCAGTCAAAGTATGAAGCCTCGAGTTCCGTTTTTCCCTAGCAGTACCGACATTCACATGTGAAGATTGTTTCTACTCCAAAACGTTCTAATGGCTAGCTCGAGCGCACCACTCTTGCACTTACCTACCATGTGTATCATGCTCAAACCGAAACAACTAAGCGACCATACGCCATATGGCGGCAATTCCCCATCACAGTAAATGTTCAATGATTCTTCCTAATGCTAGATCTATAATCAACAAACTACATCTTTTAAACACACTAGCACAGATCAATGACCCACAAACGATCCTCATCACTGAACTACGGTGTTTCGCCAATACACTTGAGTCTACTCTGGTGATTTCAAACTACCACCTGTTTCGAAAAGATCGCAACCTCAGAAAGGTGGAGGGTGTATCATATACGTACACTGAACATTAACAACGGAACGTATAGAGCACTCACAATTGGAAAACGTCAGTTGCAAGTGGCTTCTGTTACATAATGCGCACTTGTATCGACAACCCACCAAATGCGTCTAAAGTGAGTATGGCCACCATCACTCCCGTATTTGACTTTGCATCAACGTTGCTACACAGACAGATAATTGCCAGTGGTTTCAACTTACCAAAAATCCGCTGGTCATCCCACCCAAAGTATGCCTTACACGCCTCTTTTCTTTCTTCCATCAGAGCTGGGGGCTGGACACAATGGGTTACCAGTCCAACCAGGTCCGCCAATGTGTGGGATGTAATATTCACACTTAGGATACCCAACCCACAGACCGAGATCTTAGAGCCTCCCTGGCAGCGACCACAAAATGATTCGACTCGGTTTCCACATTAAAATGGTCACTAAACTCGCTTCTACATCGCGACGTGCAACCCATAAAATAAACTGGGAATACTTTTAGCAGTTAATCTGTTTCTCTGACTAGGATGTATTCCCCATCTATATCAGTGTATGCACTGTTGTCGAGCAG